TTAATATTCAATGGTTAATAATTATTGTCATTTATAATTCAGAATATTTGAATCATTTGATTAGGACCAATAACTGATAGTTGTTTTTTAATATTTAAAACAAATATCTCCTTAATTAATTAATTAATATTAATATTAATAATTTTTATATAAATTAATTTAAAAAATATAATAAATACACCTTAAAATATATGATAAAAAAACTCATAAAAAATTATAGGATCTTTCTAACTTGTGTCATAAGAAAGCAATTAATATATTTTTTATTATTAAATTATATAAAAAAATAAAATTTGATTTTAATTTTAACAATTAATCAATTAAATTAAAACATTTAACATTAATATTAAAATTAATATCAATTTTTTTACTTTTTCATATTTATTAATATTTAACGTGTGCCTTAAAAGTAGGTGATAGAAAAATCCAAAATTATAAAGTATATAAAATACATAAATAACACTGAAAGAAAAAAAGTTTAGGGAAACATTCCTCCAACCAAACAGTCAGATTCCGCTTCAACCGCATTAGCTGAGGTGGGTGGGATGCACCCAACCATGCTCTTCATTATGATTTAAATGGGTAGTGCTATCAAGATAATTTTTTTTATATATAATTTTTATATATTAATAAATAAATTTAATATCATAAATTTTATATAAATTAAAAAAATTAATTATTTTAATAATATATCAATTATACAAAAAAATAAAATAAAATAATTACCCCAATAATATTTCCGGATTCAAAAAGCATGAAACACCTACGGCTCTCTGAAAAATGTTCCCCTTCTCTCAATTTCCAAATGAGTAATGATTTACGAGACGATTTTGAGAGATGGTTTTGGAGGATGATAAATAGAAACAGAGTCAAATTGATAATTATTGTTGGAACTGTTTCACTTATCGTCCTCCGTTTCGTCCCCTAAAATCGTTCTATAGATCATTACTCTTTTCAAATACTAAAAAATAAAAAATAAAAAAATCATTTCCCTACCTGGCCTTGATGTTGTGTTGGATAGTCTACCACAGTACAAAGAATAAAACAGTGACCTACGTTGGATATAATTAAAAGATTTCAGTTTTTGTCTTGTTTCCTTACAGATTTTTTTCAAAGTTTTTTTTTTTTTTTTTTGAATTGAGTGAGGTCTGTCTAATAAATTGTTATCATAACATAAATTTTTAGAATTTATTTTTTAGAATATTAATTTAATTTAATTTAATTATTAAAAATAATTAATAATTATAATTATTAAATAATTAAATAAATATTATTTATTATTTAAAAAATTAAAATTAATCTACATTTTAAATTTTTAATTATTATAATTATTTATTTATTAAAAAAAAAACATAAATTTGTGTATCCCAACAATTTATTGTGTAGCTGTGATCATTGCCCTTTCCCAGTTTTTGTTGAAGCAAGCCTGGCATACAACTTTTTTTTAACAAGAAAATGAATATACCAGTGGCGGAGCTACGTTATCTTTTGAAATTTTTTTAAATTAGTTCTTAAATTTTGCATTCTAAATTTTTTATTTTAAAATTTATTTTATTTACTTAATTAT